AAGGTTTATTACAAAATCATCCTTCGGTTTTATAGTCATTGTACTATTTACATAATCCAACTTTGTCCATAAGTTTACTTCCTTCATTTCTTTTTAGTTATTCTACATTCCTATTTGGAATGTTTGGAAATAGTTATTCCATTTCATTTTTTTGGTAATTTTAATTTCCATAAATTGACCTACTTTCTCTTACCTATGATACAAATCCATACAATGTTGCACCATATTTTGATGAAGAAACGAAAGAGATCAAACAATTCCCTGTCTTCATAAGACTCGTATCTGAGGAGGGATTAAAGGATTTGGCATTTACTGATTTTGTCCCATACGTCGATACATTCAAAAGAATGTCTTGACGAATTTTCTAAAAATCATATAAAATGTCTAAGAATATTCCTTTGGCACACTCTACATTTTCACACCTCTTTAACAAGATTAAAGAGACGATCCAATTTTTTTTTTTTTTTTTTTTAAGATTGATCATAATAATCCCAACTTTTGATGGTTCGTGAATAAAAGTCTCACCTTTCCATGATTTTCTAATAATCCGAACTTTTGAAATTTGAACTCATACTGATTTATTAGTCCCAACAGTTAAAAAAAAAAAAAAAAAAAAATATTGTAGGCTTGTAGCACATTATCTATCCAAGTGTCACAACTAATTAGTGTAATTTGTTTTATCAATAATTATTCAAAAAAAAAAACCTCCCCACCACCGCCGACCTCCTTTCCCACCCCCCACCCCCCCCCCCCACACCATTGCCGACCACATTCTTCTCCACCACCTGACCTAAACTCTCCTCCCCCCTCCACCAGCAACCTAATACCTAAAACCAACACCCCTCTCTAAAAAAAGAAAGGTAACTTGGGAAGTCACGTGATTAAGTGACTTAGATTTATGTTCCAAAAATTAACCTCATAACAGGGTAACCACTTTCTCCCTCTACCCACCCTCTCTCTACTTCAACAACAACATGCAAGTTAAGACACGTAACAGATATTCAACTGATAAGAACAGATACTACACTTGATATTAGCCAAAAGGGCGAGAAAGTTATGGTTTTCTTAGTACAAGTTACCTTTTTTTTTTTCATGTGGTAGTGACCTTTTCCTTCCACCTTTCTGATGCAGCATAATCAAACTTGAAATTGTCCGCATGGATACCTGGAGAAATTCACAGTCAGCAATTAAGATGATTATACAAAAGTAGATAACTCACAGAAGGAGAAGTATTTGTTACAAGTCAAAATGTGAGGTCACAAAATATCTCCAACTGATCAGTTTCATCTTTAGCAATGGTTCATTCTCAGTTTCTCACACAAATCTCATTTTATTTGCCATAACTATTCCAATTTAACCGGATGTATTTCAGATAGCCCAAGATAGATAGAGACCATATGAAAGTAGAATAAGGATCTCATGATCTGCCTGTTGGGTGAAATAGCACTCAAGATGAAGAATCCAGTGACCTCACCTTGTTACTCTGCAAGTAGAGTTAGTAATATCTTGCCTACTAAAAAAAGTCCTATGCAACTGTTGCATATGCCAGGTGGTACAATCCACCTTTTCTTAACCAATAAAAAAGAAAACTTTATTTTTGAAAGAAAAAAAATTGCAACCCCCCTATTTTTCCCCTTTTGCAAGAAGACAATCAAATCACAATAGAGTGCTAATTTCATAGTAGAGAGCATGTAATGCAGTCCACAGCAAAAGAACTTTATATCACTGGAGTAAAAAACATTTAGAAGCAAAACACATATTAAAAGCAAGGGCTTTAGGTTAAAAAAAATTTGGACCATTTCTCGATTTGTGCGTGTCATCCTTGCGCAGGGGCCATGCTAATCTTCTCTGTATCGTTCCAATTTTATCAGATGTCTCCGAAGAGACAATCTCTGTCTAGAAGCCAGGCTTAATAAAAGAAGCAGTAGCTTTGTATATAACCAATGTGGGACTAGAGAATAAAGCATTTGACTTGTAACCAAGTAGCAACCATGAAAGATCTCCAATAACCTACAGTACTGTAAGTTTTCTCTAGGGAGGGGACAGCAAAATAGAAATATATACAAAGCATATGAACAACACCGGCAAGGCGACAACCTCCTTTATTTTGGTTCTCACCCAAGTTGTGTCAACTTTGATTTATTATCTGAGGCAATAAAGCAGTAAGGCTATGGATAACACAACACAAGAAAATAGGATTGATCCACCTTAGAGGGGATATTTGGCAATAAGGCTCAACAGCTTGCGAAGATAACTCCCCATTTGACTTTGTTTGAAGTGTTTAAAACAAAGATGGATAATTTTTTTTTTAAAACTCTGAGGTTTAATGTGAACCAAATTTACACACATGTTGCTAGAATTTCATTCCAAAACTTTGATTTTCTATTACCATACTAACAACTCATATATATCCATCTATAAACTCTATTAATTATCAATTTAGATTAAATTTTTGACAAGGTATACTTAGGAAGCACTCTCTATGCTCTTTAAAATTCTTCTTTCATACTTCAAGTGTAGTAGTAGTTAAGGACCCTAACTAAAGCATTAAGCATACATAGTCCTGCCATTGAGAAAAACAGTTGTTTATACAACATACACTGGTGATGTCAAATTTGCTAGAGTAAATTTTAACAGCCTAACACCTTTAAAACTGTTTTCCAAGCCCTGAGTCTTAGGGGTGTATTTAAGCCTGTGTAGTAATGTGATTCACAGGCAATGCTCTAAGATCCAGGTAAGCAAGCTACAATTATGGAGCCTCCCCTTGAATTAATTTAACATCATTGTGGGTGAATGACCCACAAATCAACTATTCTGCTGAAGTGCTGATAAAAACTTAATAACAGATACTAAAATTGATCTTACCACCAACAGAGAAAGAAAGCCATAACATTATGCTTTCTTTAACCTTACAATCCTCTATCGAATTTCTGATCATTCCAGCCTCAACCATCGCCTGCCTGTGAGAGACAGAGTCAATATCAAAGATTAAGCCTGTAATTCAACATAAACAATTTTAAGATGATTTCAGACACAATCTTATCAGATACAAATTAAACAGCAGCAGCTAGTGCCTTTCAACACACACATGCGTAGTTAGGAGCCTACTTGTTTTTCATGAAGTAAAGGATTAAGAGCAGATACATGGAACAAAAACTAGAGACAAAATTTATTGCCAGTAAGCACTGTCCAAAAAAAAAAAAAAATCACTCATCAAGATTCAAGAACTAGCAAAGGTTAGTGAACAACTACCACAATAGATAAGCTTTATCTTTGACAAAATTCCCAGTACAAAGCATTATCTTCATTTAATTAAGTATTTAAGTGAGTAATTGGCAAATGTTCTGATGGATGCACTAATAGTAAATGACAAAGAATGACACACAAAGTCACTAAGTTATGTAGTTCACTAATAATGTGTTAGCTAAATTTAAAGGCACAGGGGAGAACAATCTCACCCCATTACGTCATCCAGTTCATTGCAACTACAGCTGATTAATCCTTATGGCATATTACAAGCCTACAGCCTACTAAGGCATAAATCATGTTTCTTTGTAACCATATATCATCATTTGTTCAAATTGTAAGAAAAGATAAAACCAAATATCATTAGACCGGAAGCTAAGAATAAAAGCATCCTCAAACAAGCTAGGATAATTTATATTATATACTTTGTACTAGTCCCAACAAATGGTAAAGAATGATACCCTTATTATAGCAATAGCCTTACCACCAGTTACAAATAAAACATGTCTCCACAAAAGCCAAAATCTTCAGTTTATCCAAGTGTCAAAGAATTGAGAAATTAGAATAAACTGTAAGATAACTAAAATAAGTAATAGCATAATCACAACATTTTTTTTCTTTACAAGCAATAATCATCTAAAGTACTTCTACTCTCTAAAATACCACCGAAATAGGAACCAGAAGCTGAGCTGGCTGAATAAAAAAAAAAGGATATAGATGATATGATTCTGTACTCTCTTCAAAAACAAAAGCAGACCATCAACAGCTTTCAAACTATAATAACTTCAATAAGATCTAGCTTGTTAAACTTTTACAACTGAACAACCTCAGTATGTAATGCCATCGAACATAACCACATTGACTTTCAATTCAGTAACTATTACTGATCTTACCTAGCATAGTCTTCTCAATTTAACAGAGCACATAATATTAAGCCCCTGTCAAAGCAAAGAAGAACTGTAACATGTTTATGTGGTTCTCTCACTTTTCTGTATAATGCAAGCACTCAAATTATATTTATGAAAGAAATCAAAGAAAAACAACAGTGGCAAACACACATACAAACTTTAACGTAAAAGAACAATCTCCTCACCACACAAAAATCCCATTTACAAGCCTCCCTGAACACAAAAATCCCAGAACCAAATACCATCAATAATGTGAAATCTAAACAGCTTTCCAAGAACCATCCACTAAAGATCCTCTTACAAGTAGATAGTATTTCTCTCTTGTATAAAAGCAATTAGTATAGAGGAAATAAACTAGAATAAATAAACTCTTAACAAAAGAAAGCTATATAGATTATTCACAATATCAGCAGTTCTATCTTCAGAGCATCAGACACAAGTACCACCCCATGACCCAGCCACAGACCAGGTACCAAATGGTCGACGGGGTTTTGAACTCGGTTCCTCTACTCCATACTTGTCTAAACACCATAATGGACCACTACATTAATGTCATTGGCTTGTAACTTTTATCAGTGTAGACAGGTAGAATTTTGTAGATCATATGGTAAAGTCTAGCTAGGAAATTAGTTACAGCTATGTCTAAATGGCCATGTAAGCTAAATTCAATGCCAAAAGCACCTTGTTGACTTTTATATGGTTATACCAACTATATTGTCCCATTTTGAGGTTTTTCAGCAAAGTTTTAGGAAATTTGTTTATTGTCCCACATCAATGAAATAACAGAAATGTAAAGAGCATCATAGATATAAAATGAAAGCGTAGAACATGAATAAACATACTTACCTGGACGGGGTCAATGGGCGATCAAGAAGGCTCATGGCCTAGGTTGGTGGCCTCCATTGCACATTAGGAGGGGTGCTAGCCTAACATCTTCCCAAGAGGAAGAGTGTACGTCATAATTTGTGATAGTGGGGGTCTGCGTTCGCGCAACCCCTGACCAATTCTACTTCCAAAATTATAATGCATGTTGTAATTTGTGTTATTGAGAGACTGCTTACTCAGATGATAAACAACACATTCTGCTCACTCCTGATTTTCATATAAAAACAAGCAATAAGTCCAAATAGGCAATTGTAATGTAGATAGCCCAACATATATTATACTCATTATGTCCACAAATAATCTTTCCCGTATACCTTTTCAGGATGTTTGCAAAAAAAATTCCTATTACTTGAAAAAGAAAATTTTCTCACTCAAATCATGTAAAGTAGATCCCTCTACAAACTCTCTTTCTCTTACTTTCACCCTACTAAATTCCTTAATGTGCGCCGAAGCCTAACAAAAAGATTTTCTCAATGTAACCATAGCACAAACTCTAGCAATCTAGAGGAACCAGATGAATCTCTTTATTCACCGTTTTTCAGCCCAGATGGCCTGAAGCCCTGAAGTATATCAAGGTTCCATTCAGCAGAAAAACTCAAAAGTAAAACAAAAGGTTCAGAACTTCAGATATATTGAATATCTCCTCTTAGGATAAAAAAGGAAAAAAAAAAAGTGTTTGGATACATATCTAGGAAAGTAGGAAGTAACATTCAACAAGTGGCATTGTCACTCGGTAGAGTCCTCTCACTTAAGAAAGCAAGAGAAGAAATCTTTTTCTTTGTCGAAAAGTCACAATAGTTACATTCCTACTCTCTGAGATTATTTTTCACAGATCACAAAAAGATACAAGGGAAAGTCACAAAAGTCCCACATCAGTCAAGAAAGAAGATCAAAGCTCGGACTTTACGGTATAAATAACAAAGCCTGTTAGAACAAACTTCACGCAGCCACGCAGTGAGCACAGAGCGAACTATTCTTTCGCCTTTTACTAAAGAATACCGTGTGCTCGCTGCATTTGGTGGCATACGTTTATTTTTGGAGGGAGTTCCTTAAAGGAACTTCCCACAAGCCAAGTGCAAACTAGCTCTCTACCTTATTAGTTGTCAAAGATAAAGAGGTGAATTTACATACAAGCACCAACTCAAACATAGAAAATCAGAGTTATAAGCTTAATTTGATACTTGCTGAAAACCTGAAGTGATAAGCTTTTTTTGTGATACTTAGCAACAGTCTCTGAGGAATGGTGCTCGCTCAGGGAACTACAGGACCCTGGTGAAAAGAATGAGAGCCGTGTAAAGTAATAATAATGTATCAAAAAACTAGAGCTGATTTAAGTTACCCATCTACATTAAGAAGGGAAAATAAAAATTAAAGTGACAGTTATTCAGAAAATAGGCTTCAAGGTTGGTGAAGGAAACATAAAAATTCCAGAGAGAATAGGGACACATATATGAACTAAGTCTCTTTTTTTTCTGGTATCATTTCTGTGTAGGAGCCATGTTATTCTTCCATTTCCCAGCCTCATTCTGTTCAATGTCATCGGATCCTCCTCCCTTTAGATTTATTTTTCCTATCCAATCTTCTAAGTACACCCCAGCCAAGTAACTTCCAAAGGTGTGCCAATTCTAGAGCAAACCTCACAGATTACTTTGACATGGCAATTAAAGGAAGTATTGAATAATTTACCATCTAACATGCCGGACCACTTCTAGCAAATATGATCAAGTCAGAATCATACATAAGGATGCCACATTGCCACAACAATTCAAGTTCGGAAGGAGCACAAGTAACAAAACAACAAGAAAATGCTTGAGAGTGCTTGGCTCATGCAGTATTGCAATGCGTGGCATCATGATCATCTAAGATTCAGATGTTTATCTTATAGCTCCAAAAGGAAAGGCATTGGCTGATAGTAGATTAAGGACCGTCATTTTTCTTTTCTTTTTTTTCTTGAGTAAACAACGATGTCAGATGAAAGACATCAAAAAAAGTGGAAGTATAAAGCCACTGAGTACTGGCCTAGACGATGGAGCAGTTTCCAGAAGAGGAATTTTTTTCCATAGATTTGAACAGAAACAATTTTAGCCTATCCAACAATTTACACTGATTGATAGGGTAGTTAAGTCTAATGGCTTCTAGAGCAAAAAGAGGAGAGGCTTAAATGGAACAAGAAAGATCTTTACAAACACACTTTTTTACCCTATAATGCATCGATGTCATGCTCTTTCGAGAAAATCGTTTAAGAGTTAAGACTACAAAACACACTTAATTTAAAATCAACATAATGGCATATGGCCATCATCTCTTTAGCATAATAGCGATCGCAGTTAAGGGCTCAGTAATTCTGCTATTCATGCAGTTACTGATGGCTGCTGAAGGTTTGAAGGAAGTAGGTTGAAGTTATCTTCACAGTCCCCAGTTTGCACTTAACAAAGATTCTGACAGCTTGATATATGAAAGATATCTGATTTTCCTGAGGGGTGGGGCGTAATGCAGATTGCCGAAGCGAGAGTAGCTATCATTAAGCGGGAAAGATGTGCTTAGGAAGAGACAAAGAGTAGCTCGACCAGGAAAAAGAAAACTCCCTGAAACCAAGGAACTTTCATTACACAGCAAATGAGGGAAGAAAGAAAAGAAATTCACTTAGCCGGGAAAAGGCAGTTTTTGTCAGGCAAAAGAAAGATATAAGGCCAAGGGAAAATACACGGGATTCTGGGAACAGGCCGCCAACTTGGCAACTTCTATGATCAGCTATTGAAATGATTCACTAGACCAGCTGCAATTTTTTGGTTTCTCATCCAAAATTTAACCCTTTGATTAATAGTCTGAGGTAATGCATAAAAATAAAAAAATAAAATAAATTTATGATCTTATGAAGAAAAATGTATTAGTGGAAGAAATCCAAAATACCAACAACAAAGTAACATTACAGAGAACGGCTTTATGCAGCCCAGCTCTTACTAAAAGCTACATCATTCAGAACGTGCTACACTTATCTCAATCACACACCAAGTGCTACGATATCAATAAAAAAAAATGCAAAAAAGTATGTAAAGTGAAAAGAACATGGGCATCATTCTGTTTAATCTCCCCCTATTAGCAGCCCTTAACGTATATGACAAGGCAGAACTCAAATCCTAGCCTGGATTCTATGCTATAGTTATAAGTTCTCAAATTCGGGCAGATATCCTATGAAGTGTAGACACAAGCTTGGACAAAAGAAGAAGGCTGCGGTAGACATATGACAGGCAGTGCATAAAATATGTATTACATTTATGATCATGAGCGAAGTGTAGACAATTATCCAATAAAATTTCTCAGGAAAAATACAATATTCTGGTTCCTGTACCTGTCAAGAAAACTCGATTGGCCAAGAGACATTCCCCAAACCATAAGTGATTGGGATTCGAAAGCTTCAAATTATAAGCATTGTCCAACAAAGCACGATATCATATACCACCAGAACTGGTGTTTATAAGTGTTTATTGGCTAATGGTGGTAAAGGCAAAGATTACAGAACAATTACATTCTTTTCCCCAATAGATTGAGTACCAATCATAACTCATAAGCACTCTACTATTGTAACAAGTTTCGAGATTAGTTAGGATAAACTAGCAACACAAAAAACTATTTTGAACTTTGATTTCAACTTATAACTTTCTTTAATCATCACCATGAAAGGACATACTCATGTGGATAATGGAAAAATGGTTCAAAATTTTTACTTGTACAATGTAGTACAACAATTTTCTGCAAATATCAAATGCAGCATATCACTGCGAATAAAGGCATTGTATTACTTTTTACCTCATAAAAATGCAATACTTTGTATTAAGCTATTAAATTGAGCAATTTCACTTGATTCCAAATTTCCAATTACTTTTACAACTCGAATTCATATAAGTCCACTAACATCTCATTCAAATTGCAATTTCCATCAATCTAAAAGTAATACTTTGTATTTCCAATTATCATAAAATAAACAATATTTCCATGGTCACATATATTAGAGCCTAGGCAAAAGGGGTAGTTCAAAACCAACCTTTCTTTTTTCTTTGATTTTCAATTAAGATGTATATGAACAACTAAACTTCTGTAGTTATAATTTAAACTTGAATAACCCTAATTTTGCGTTATCTAACTCATTTCTTCTAAACTTATTTTATACGAGCTATTTTTATTTTTTTTCCTAAAATAAACAGAAATAAGATGAACTAAACACGACTTAAACCATCGGACCTCTCAAATTCTAACTACTACTCCCATATACGCGTAACTTTTTATTTAAAACTACTCCGTAGTATAATCACATTAAAATAAGTAAAATGTACGAAAGTATATACAATTAGGAGAAAATGTAACGCATCAAAACCATATATCACGATTATAAGCTTAAAAACTCGGCCATTTCACGATCTTCTATCTTTAATAAAATAATCAACTATAACTGCATCCCATAATTTCACAAACTATGAAAACGGTATAATTAAAACAACATAAAAAATAAAAACAGGAGAAGCAAAGCGATGGATTACCTAAGTCCGCAAGCACCAAATGATACGTGATAGTCCTGTTACACAGTAGAGTAATTGAGAGGAAATTAACCCCAAATTTTGATTTAGTTAAATTACCAGAGTACTAGTTTACCTTGAAGTTGAACAAAAAAATGGGCATCATTTTTTTTAAGAAAATTTTGAGGATGATCGTGGTCTTGCGTGAGGGTTGACGCTGCGACTACTGTCTTGTCATGTCAAAATTGTCAATGGAAAGGTCGAAGATTTAGGAGAGAAAGGATTAAAGGAGTGCATGTAATAAAACCACAGGGCAGTAACCTACTTTTTACACCCGTTATTTTCGCCTTACACAAACTTTTGTATGTAGGTGGTCACACCGTGTGGCCAATTATTATAAGGATTACTAAGTCGGTTAGGATAACTCAGTTAGGGGTTACTCAGTCAGTTAGGGATTAGTCGGTCGGTCAGGTGTTACTCACTCGGTCAGGGATTACTCACTCAATCAGGGGTTATTAAGTCGTTTAGGGGTTACTCGATCAGAGGTTACTCATTGATTAAGGGTTCAATTGATGTGTGTCAGCTGCCCACACGGTGTGGCCAGCCGCACACAAAAGTTATTGTTCAGACAAATATTATTTTTATTGAATATTCGTATTATTTTATAAGGTAAAAAGAACATAAGCTTAAAAATACCCGTGGATATATTAGAGTATGGAGTCTTTATTTATTTGGACTTACACTTAGTTAAGTTGATGCCAATTTATTTCAATAATGATAAGATCGGATTACAAATTTTAGAATAGATTCTATCAACACTTTTTTAGACATTTGTTTTCTAGTTATTTATACCAATAATTTATGGTCTGTTTGGTATGATGGTATCATTATAGTTTTCTCTTTTTAGGTTTTTTGTTTTTCAAAATATATGATATATTACCTCTGTTTTTTCAGTTGATGCGTATTCATTTTTGGAAAGTTTTTTTTATTTGACACGTATTCTTTTTTTGGAAAGTTTGTTTTTAGTTGACCCCACTATAAACTTGATTAAATAAGCTAAATCGCATGGTCTACCCACTTGCTTTAACATACTCTATCCTCTCCTTAGGAAGTTTGTTTTTAGAAACATAAAGTGTGTGCCTAAATTGAATGTATCATCTAAATATATATGGAGGAAGTATGTCATATAATGAATAAAAAAATTGGCCAATCTTATTAACATCATGATAATTTTGAAAACT